GTCTAGCTAGTCGACGGACTAAAGCCCCTTTGAGTTTGTAATTAAGACTCATCTCAGAAAACTGTGATGAGGCGTATTTCTTTCTGATGGCTTGGAATTTAGACGTCTCAGCCCTAAGGAGGGCCGCCGACAACTCGGCCATCGTATCTTCGATGTCTGTATAATAGTATTCAGTGTAGTGAAACAGCGTCTCTATCCAGACTTTTATCGGTTTCGATCTTTTTAAAATGCTGATGGACAGGCAGCATGCGGCAGCCGCTTGCAGTGATGGCTTTATATGACAAATTCCATATTCCAAAAGGGCCAGCTCCAATAAGTATTCGCCTAGCGTGTGCTGCGATTTGTTTGCCTTTGCAATTTTATTGAAACGCCTCAAAAAATGCAAAGACGATGGTCTGTTAAAACTGAAATCTAGTCTCTTCAAAATATCGCCTTCCATGAAATGAATTTGTTCTTTACTGAACGAATCGTTGCAAAAGTAAAGAAACTCAGATACATCAGGCAATAAATTTTCTTCGTTTCTCTTTCCAGCTATCAGCATAGCTGACGTGCCCACCAATTGTAAAGTTTCGTGGCCAATGTTCTTATTGGCTTGTAAATATCTGTCCACGGTGAACACAGACTGATGGAATGTTTCGGATAAAAACTTGAAATCCAAATGAACTTCAGACATCCAGTTCATCAGGTCTGAACGCATTTTCGGCGTCGATTTGTGGTCATCATTTAAGAAATCTTTTCGAATTGAGTATATTCTCCAGTTCTCCAGTGTTATGTATTCCATAATGCCTTTAATGTTCTCAATCGCAACTTCCCATTCCTCAGCAGAATAGCACTCTGCAGATGATATATAATTTTCGTCCAAATCGGTTTCTTGTCTTCTCAAATAAACTCCATTTGAAGGATTCACAGTCTTCTTCACCTTAAGTTTTTTCGCAATTTTAATAGGGCTTCTTTGAATACTTTCACTTTTCCATTTCACATTACCATCTCTTAGCAGGATACATAGAAAGTCTGAATTGTTCCCCATCTAAATAGCAAAAATGAAAAAAAGAAAATAAGCATAAAAATATTAATATTAAATTTGATGCACTATATGTATTTCTATACAATTTGGCACGTGGTTAAGCTTGTATAAAAACATTATTTAAATCAGCCATTTAACACGTTGACGACAGTATGACCTACCGCTGGGTCTTACATTATGAATAATAGTTTTGTTGTTATGCACGCGAAGCATTCTAATAATTTTTGAAGCAATTTAGAAAAATACGTGATATTGTGACAAAATTTATGAATACTTTACAAAATACATTTCTGACAATTGTTATAAACTATTTAAAATTTACGAATTTTTGTTCACAGCAGACAAACCGATTATGCGTCGTATTTAACGTTGTGAATGTTAATTACGGATTGTCCAAATTGTTCTATTTCCTGTTTTAATGCTTGGATATCTACATCTGGGGATATTCTTTTAATTACTACTACACGATATGTTCTGTCAATTTTTGAGCTGGTAACTATGGAATCTAATATATTCGCTAGATAAGACTTTATAAAGTTTTTGTACGCGTCCGAAGAGTTCGGTTGTATTTTTGCAAAATCACGAATTAGTTTAAGTGCGTTAAACGTTAAAGGTTATCATTAACGAATATCGGCGGTGTTTTGTCTGCGTTTGATGTTTGTCTATGTGCTTCCTTCACTACTCTAGTTTGCTCTAGTTGGCAAGCTGAAGAGAGTTGATGCAACGTTTATGTAGTCCGTTATTTGTTTTTGTCTTACCTGTTTTTCTTTTTGTATTGTTCGGTAGTTGGTGTTTTCTTCTAGTTGTTCTTCATCTTCTGAGCTGCTAGCTTCATATGGAGACAGCTTCGGTTTTTTTGTTTTCTTGCATGCTATTTGTATATCGTTCGGCAGTTCTGATATTATCTTGTTTAGATATAATACTTCGTTTTTTATAACTTCTTGTGTTTTAGTGTATTTCTTTACTAGTCTCATCAGTTTGTCAGCACTTTCTCTAAGGGCGATCATCTTTGTTTCTTGTATTTGTTGCATTTTTTACTATTTCTTTTTAAATACGAAGTGTTGTCCACGTGATTTTTTTTTCAACTTTCACTCTAATATTATCTATGGTACACAGATGTCTTTACGGTCCCTTTTTGGATTGTTTTTCTCTTATTTTCACGTATATTTTGTATATGTCAGGCACGTACAAAGTTAACTCGATTGTGAAGATGCAAATACAAATCCATTGGTTAGAAATTGCATTTGGGATGGGTTGTGGTGAGTTCAATTTCATTGGCTGGCAAACTAACGTGCTTAACGGATTTTTCATGGCGCGAATGTTTGAAAATGTTGACCATCGAAGGTTTATGACCGATTCTGTTTTCTCTTTAAGGTCGCAACATTTTGGATTCAGAGAAATATGCGCTGCTGTACTCAGAGATACAATGACAATTTATTCTTAGAAAAAAAAACAAGTTTTTGAAAATACTTTATTTTTAAGACTGTTTATTTATATACCAGATTAATAAGTTAGCAGTGGCATTAGTTGTGTGCTCGTTACAGTTGCAGTAATTGACTAGTTTTAGATTAAATACATGTCTATACCTAACCAAACTGCACCTAACCGCACGTTATCCTAGACCTAGAGTATATAAAACTAACAGAGAGGCCTCCCGGTCCACCTGTCTTAACAGTTATTGTCAAACGAGGAAAATCTGGAACCAATATACGATTGTTTCTAGGTGTACCTGAGGCCCACGGGCCAAATCCAGGTGAAAGAGGTGTTGTGGCCAACCACTTTATTATTAATTATTGATATATAACTACTATGTATACTCTTTATCTATGTAAGGGCCAAATCCAGGTGAAAGAGGTGTTGTGGCCAACCACTTTATTATTAATTATTGATATATAACTACTATGTATACTCTTTATCTATGTAAGTACAGTCTTATGGAAAGCCCCTCGAAACCAAACAAGCCTATCGGCACTTGAAACATCCGCTTAGAGTAATAAAACCATTTTAGAGAAACGATCTGTTTCTCATATTTTGTTAGTTTTACATATGTCACCCTCTTGAAAGGGGCATATGTGTAAAATCGGCAGCTAACTATACAA